CACACACACACACACACACACACACACACACACACACACACACACACTCTATCTATGATGACCATTTTGTTGCTCTTTACTGCTCTTTCAGAATATTGCTAGCAGGTGGATTGGGGTCCCTGATGCTGGACCGGTACGGCTGGGAGAGCATGTTCTACAGTATTGGTTTCCTTTCCGGACTCTGGGCACTCATATTTTGGCTGTGTTTAATAAAAGGTACAGTAACTACACTAGCAGGTCATGTATCCCTGAATGACCAAGTGACCATAAGTTGTCACTTTGCGAATGCCTTGGCAGAGTATGGAGAGGGCTAACTGAGCCCTCCAAGATGTAATGAGAATTTCAACAAAAATATCAAAAATGTTTTACCAACCCTGCCTTAAACTCTCTATTTTTACAACTACTGAATGGATCACTATGATATTTTGTACAGATTTATGGTCACAGATAATGAATCCCACTGACGTTAGTGATCCCCGACTGTCCATCTCGTGCTACCATGAGGTTGACATTTGTGGTTTTGACTGAAATGTCTCAAACTATTGAACCTATTGTTATGATATTTGGTACACATATTCATGTTTCCCTCAGGAGGAATTGTAATCATTTTTGGTGACCTCTTAATGTTCCATCTAGCTTCATCAGGTCAACATTTTAATTTATGGCTAAATAACATGTCAACATAGTCAGTTCTGTAGCAAAGTCAGAGGTGCTAGCGTCACTGTAGTCTCTTACTATTATTTGTTACTAAATGAAAAACAGTGTAATTTAGGTCTCATGGCATACGACAGTAAAATATAATGTGCAATGTGTGGTTCAGGTTTAGAAGTTGCCCCCAAGCAGATGGAAACAAGTAATGACACACAATGGAGTTTGTCAAGAACACGCTTGCTGAGTCTTTTTAAGAAGCCACCTGTCTGGTACAGCCTGCATCCTTTAATCCTTCACTCTTTACCAATACAGGATTGTTTGAGTTTTCAGCCTAACCCCATTTCTACATCTGTCTTTGTCATCTTCTTTCTCAGGGCCATGATGTTTACTCACATGTGCGCGTCCAGCACTTCCTACACGTTATTGTCGTGGTTGCCAACGTACTTCAAAGAATCATTTCCAGATGCCATGGTATTTGATTTCTCTAACATATGTTGCTATTTAGTCAATAAACCCACCAAACTGTACAATAGATTGCTCCACCTTCACACACATCAGCCTCACGTTGACTACATTGTTTAAATGCTAACCTGTCCATTCTTGCAGGAATCTGTGTATAATGTAATTCCATGGCTTGTTGCAATTCCATCAGCACTTGCCGGAGGATGCATATCAGGTGCTCTCATCAACCAAGGTCTGTGGTTTTTTTTTTTGCCGTGTGTGTTTTTAAGTCAGTTACAGTACCCTTCATTAAAAAATGTTTACACCATGCGTTTTTTTTTTCCTGTAGGATATAGTGTAGGATTGGTGAGGAAGATAATGCAGGTAAGTGTGGAAAAAGTTGTACAATAATTCAGTGAACCATAGTTGTGTTTTCAAGTGACAAAAAACTGTGTCTGTGTGCAGTGAAAGGTTTTGTCCTGACTGGCTGCTGAGGTGTTCATAATGGAATTTATCTGTGTGCTTCAAACATGTAATTACAAGCTTCTCTAGGGCAAAAGAAGTACAAGTACTTTGAATCACCGTTATATTTTGGGCTACATCTATCATGTAAGCTACACATATATATTCTGTGTAACTGAAAAGCTTTACTTCTATATTCATGGTTAAAACAAAGTGCATCAGACACTCGGACTTTTTTTAAATCTCTCATTCAAATCAAATTGAGAGTGATAGCAAGTTGCAGTCCTGCACTTTTACATTTACTTCTAGATTACGAATTGTACCTTTTAAATGTCTCACCTGCACCTCTCACCCTCCTCAGTTCTTTGCCATGGGCGTATCGAGTGTGTTTATTATGCTTCTGTCTGGAGCCGTGCCATTTACCTCTGCTGTGATTTTCGTTTCCGCTGCAATTGGTCTGTCCACCTTCAGCAGCAGGTAAATTAGATTATTAAAAATATTGTATTTGTGTATTCTAACTGTTACAACTTCATTTTATTCTCATGAAAGATTTGTCGGTGAAATTAAGCTAAGCAAATATTTAAAGGATGATGCTGGGGTTGTTCTATATTTCTGTTACCAAAGACCAAAACTAATAATGTGTTAGTCTGTTTCTCAATACTTGTATTCTCCCTATACCCTTATTTAAAATGGAACTTTTACAAACAACACAAGTTGTTATAGAAATGCTCTATAACAACTGAATGGCACAGAGGAAATATGATGCATCAGGCTTTGGGTACATAGAAAATACTAGTTAGTAGGATCAATTTATTGTTGGTTTTGGTCTTTTCATGGGATTTTCTGATAATACTACAAATATAGAATATCACCAGACCTCATAATGTTCATATATTTCACAGTGTAAACTGGTAAAATAGAGTTATCCTTCTTTTTTGCTGTGAATGTAATGAGTTTCAATGCGTTTCAGTGGTGTGAGTGTGAACGTACAAGATCTCTGCCCATCATGTGCTGGTGCCATCTACGGTGAGTTTCCAGCCGTCTACATTCCAGCTTGATAAAACTGTGCTAATCGTTGTTTTTGTTGATCAATTTTCCTTTTCTGCAACAGGTTTTATGAATATGTTGGGTGCTTTCATTGGTATGTATTACGGTTTCTTTTGCAGTATTTAGGAAATGGCTTCTTACTATTATATCCAGAATTAAAAAATTGCAACATGTCCATTGTTACTGCTGGCATTGATCTCAAATGTACCTCTTGTCATTTTTCCCCTCGGTGTGGTTGCACAGGACTGGTGTTGGTCTTTGTCTCAGGTTACCTGATTGAGGTCACGTTGTCGTGGACCACGGTGTTCTCCCTCCTCACTTTAGTGAACGGCACAGGCCTCGGGGTTTTCCTCATCTTTGGAGAAGGTCGTCGTGTCGACCTGTACGATTACAAAAAGGTTACTTTGATTTGACCCAGACATACCAGTCTGCATCTGATTTGTGAGACTGGACATTACATTTCAATTTTAAACAGTTTGTCAAAATTAAGAGTTGATTTTGAATCCCTCTTTGCTGAAACTGGCTGTGAACAATGCACAAACATAAACAACAGTACAGTATAATGTAGTGAAATAATAGTTTTGATTGGTATAAAGTTGTGTTTTCTTTGTCATTGTTTTGACAATGGAATCACATGTTTACCAATCATAAAAGTACGTGAAAACACCACAACCTTCTCCATTTGAAAATGAAGTAACTTGAATATTGTCTAAGTTGTTCTTCTCTTGTGTTTACTGTAAGTTAATGATCAAATCTTTTCTAATTTCCTGGCTGCTGCATTTCTTTTTGTTTAAGTTGGACGTTATGAACTGGTCAATGTCCAAATCTACTAGAATTAGTGCAATTAATGAGCGAGGTGACAACAAAGACTTTTTGTCCTGAGGACTTGACTTCACTGAAAATATTTAAAAACAGCTCTTTATAATGATGTTGTTATAGATATTTATACAACTGAACACTCTTTTAGAAAGCATTTCCAGTTCCATGCTATTGTACAGTTGTTCTACTTTTGTTATAGATAGAAATGTGAAGGGCTGTAAGTTGTAAATGTCCATCTGTCTTGCCTCTGTTCTGAACAGATCGAGAAAACATGAGAAGATTTTGTTTAACGTCATAGACATTGTTTCAGAATCTGTGTTTTAAAGACAGACAGAAAATGTCTTTTTAAAACATTTGTTTTTCTGAAAGGGAGCTTAAATGAAGTGAATTAATTATTATTAGGAATAAACATACAACGCATACAGTATTCCTCCAAGAATTCAGACCTGTACACTTTCTTTCACCTTGTTTTGTTACAGCCTTTTGCTAAAATTTTAGAATACATTTTTTTCCTTCATCAATTTATACTCAATACCCCATAATGACGAAGTGAAAACAGGTTTAGAACATTTTGCAGACCCTTGTGTCAATACTTAGTTGAAATGCATTTGGGGTCTTCTTGGGTTTGACACAAGCTTTGCACACCTACATTTTTGGGTTTTCTGCCATTCTTCTCTGCAGACCCTTTCAAGCCATCAATCAGACCAGAGAATCTTGTTTCTCAAAGTCTTGGAGTCCATCGTGTTCGTGTCTTTCCTGATCATTTCCAATCAGTTCAATTTACCACAGGTGGACTCAAATCAAGGTGTAGAGACATCTCAAAGATGATCAAGAGAAATGGGAGACACCTAAATAAAATTTCAAGCGTCATTGTAAAGAGTCAGAATACTTATGCCAATGTGATATTTCATTTTTTTCTCTTTAGATACATTTGCAAACATCTCTATAATCCTGTTTCTGCTTCGTCATTATGGGGTATTGAGTGTAGAAAGCTGCAACATACCAACATGTGCTAAAAGGTGAAGGGGCCTGTATGTGACTCAACTTCTGTAATAGATACTTATGTCTTAAGAAGAGAATGTCATTTGGACTTTTTTGACTTTTGTTTGCAACATGTCTTTTATGTCTTATCTGTAGCATTTGAATTTTATTTAATATTTTTGTGTATTTATTAAAGGTCAAGGTGACAGTGAATAGATGCGGTGTTTAAAAAAATCCTTTGAGGAGAAGTTCTTTCTGATAATTAAAAAAATGTGAAAAAAATCACATCTGGGACAAAACGCCCCCTAGTGGTGTCTTTCCTCACCCCTGTTTTGTTCTAGTCAGAGTTTTGTTAATTTGTAAAAATAAAACACAAATATCATTCATTATCCCTAAGACATTACATTTCCATGAAAGGACATTACATAACATTATAAATGTGATCTCATACTTGCTTGTTTGCTTACAGAACATTGCTGACAATACTTTAACATTCAGATGAAAAAAGAAAAGATGATTTGGCCGTAGACTCTTCTTTAATATGTAAAAATTCGAATTCCAGGAATCCCCTTGTTACGATGGATTTGATATAACAACTAGGCTACATTAAATAGTCTGCCTACACATTACCCCCAAACATTTATTTATTCAATAAAAAATGTGTAAATTGGCAATGTTCTTAAGAAAGTATACTTGCATACTTATAACATTGTCAGACTCACAATGGACAGTATCAAAGTCGATGCAGAACCAGAAAAACACAACTTTTTTATTCCATGCATTCCTAGTCTTGGTCAAAAGCTGATGCCTACATTACCCACAATGCAACTCTATTTCTGGAATGGAGAGACCTAACTCCTCTTAAGCTTATTCTGTTCAAATGGTGTGGGCTGTCAAATACATCTTGTGACAACCATCTCTATGGGTTTAGTTGTGGTTGGTGGTACTCATGTACTCTAAGGTCAGTCACTCACTATATAATACATAATACACAGCATGATTGAAGATATGAACACCATGCTGTGTTGAAGAAAACTTGAAACTAGCGATTGAGACCATAAACTCATGTTGACAATGTTTACTGAGGTAATAAATCAAGTGAGTCATTTTCTCACAGACTTCTATACAATCAAACAAAACCAGAGGGGTCGCCCCCTGCTGGCTATTGCAAAGAATACAAGTTTAAGTCACTTCTGCATTGGTGCCACTTTTCAGACCTGGACGTTGTCACCTGGTTGCAGCCTACCTAAGAAAAAGATGTATCTATAGCTCTCCCGACATACTTTAAACTCATTGTCTAACGCCTAGAGGAGAAACAAAGAAGAGCTGGACATTTTGACATGAAAAACACTAAAAATCCTCTCACCTCAATGTCAAGTGTCTTACTCCTGGAATGAACCTCTAGGTGACCTCTGACCCCAATTCTGAAAATTTCATTAGCAACATGTTTTTTTAACAGCGCCCTCTGGGGAACGAGATCCAATGAATACACCAACCCCATCCTCCCATTCTCCCTAAAACCTGTCAACACGCTTTGAGTTCCCTCTTTACTGTATTACAATGGTTCTGCCACAGAACAAATACCAAAAACAGAAATCAAACGGACAGGTGGAGGCTGGTGGAAAAAAATAGTCATGTTGGAGTTTCCATCAAGTCACTGCAGGTCCGGTTTCAGCCCCCTGGTCAGCGCATCTCACATCCGGCGGTGCTTTGTCCGTCTGCAGTGATGGAACAATTACAGATCCAAATACATTAACCCGGTCAGACAGGCGGTTTAGGGGGGGGGGGGGTATCCGTTTGATAGCGAAGATAGGCTACGTCATGACGTTATTGCTTCAGCCTATGAGGAGCAGTGCACGCAAACCAGGACGGGGAGGCTCGATGTAAAGAAATGTCTAATAGGCTATAAAAAAAGAGGAAGAGCATGTTCGGTGTTTTAACCTGAAGGTGTGATCGGACAGAAGCGCGTCTTTATCCCTCCAAGCCTGCCGGACATCATCAGCGGGCCAGTCCGCCCGCCTCCACCGAAGGACGGCATTGTTTGGCCTGATCACCTCCATCTCCATCTCTTTCAATCGTATTACACGGGGACGTTTCCACTGAGGACAGACAGCCGGAGACCTGAAACATCAGATGCATGTGTTGCGGAATGAAATCATGCTGCTGCAACATACTGGAGGAATTGAACAGTTAATTAAGGCGTTAATGTGTGGAGGAGCTTCAGTGGGTGATTGTGAACAAGGACGAGAAGAAGAAGAAGTGTACTGGTTGACGCAGCTGTATTAAATGTGTCTATTTAAATACTGATCACATTTGAAGACATTTTAAGAAACTGTATTGCGGTTATGGCGTCCGGGCCTGTCGAGTCTTTGTGTGTGTGTGTGTTTCATCCTGTGACGCTCTTAAAGATCCAACTTTCCTCGACAAGGGACAGGATTGCCACTCCTCGTGTTCACGGCGGACCTTGATTTATTAGCCATACAATTAAGGCACGCGGTGAATGCCAAGAGAGGAATCACACTCTCCACGTCCTGCATCATTCATCATTGAAGACGAAGAGATTTAAAACATCTGCAGAGAAAGAGAGAGAGAGAGAGGGGCTATAAGAGAGAGAGAGGCTATAAGAGAGAGAGAGAGAGAGAGAGAGAGAGAGAGAGAGAGAGAGAGAGA